AATTTGATTCAACCCAAAATATTATTATATTAATAAATAACATTTTATTTAATTTTATTTAAAATTTTAAAATATTAACATTAAAAGTTCTTTGATATTGCAATTTTAAATACTTTTATTTTATATATTATTAAACATAAATATTTTTAATATTTCAATAATAAATAGTATTATATGATTATTTTAAAAATAAATAATAACATATATAATAATATTTTTATTATTTAATAATTAATGTTAAATAATATAATAATATTTTATTAATATTAATATTTTAATAATTTCATATTATTTTTAAATTTAAGATATTTAATTTTATATTTTATTTATTATGGTATTTATATTACTATTTTAATAATTAATATAAATAAAAATATTTTTATTATGATTTAATAATAGATACTTTCAATATAAAATATAAATATTTTAATAGTATAAATATTTTAATAAATTTTAATATTAATTAAAATAATATTTTAAGAATATTAATACTATTTTAAATATTTTGAAATATTAATATAAAAATAATCAATAATTTTATTTTTAGTATTTTTTATATTTATATAATATTTTAATATTAAATATTATTAAAATATAATTATTCTTCAATATTAATAATTTTAATATAGTTTAATAATAAATAATTTTTAATATTTTAATAGTTATATTAATATTATTTAAAAATAAATTTTCTATAAAATAATCAAACAATAAAAAATATTTTTTATTAACTCGTTCAGATAAGAAAATTTATTTTTAAAAAAATATAAATATTTTTTAAAAGATATCTTTTAAAAAATTAATTTTTATGAAGCTTAAAAGGGAGAATATATTTCCTTACGATGTGAATCGTAACATTTGCCTGCTAGTGCTCGGCCCAGCCAGCCAAGACCACAAAACGTGAACCCCTGACTTGACGCCAAGCCCTTGAAACTTGCGACCGACTCTCCTTTCCCCAAAACCCCAATATCTTTTAAAAAATTAATTTTTATGAAGCTTAAAAGGGAGAATATATTTCCTTACGATGTGAATCGTAACATTTGCCTGCTAGTGCTCGGCCCAGCCAGCCAAGACCACAAAACGTGAACCCCTGACTTGACGCCAAGCCCTTGAAACTTGCGACCGACTCTCCTTTCCCCAAAACCCCAACTAAGATAAACACTTCACAAAATAAAAGTGACAACTCTAAATTACCCCATGGCTAACGTAAGAGCTCATAAAATGAAATTAAAAAAAAAAAACTTGAGAATCAAATTCTGGCCTAGGTTGCTTAGGAGATTCAGGATCTACTCTTTCATTTTGATTTACACATGTCATCCGCTTGTCCACTATCTTTTCCCACCAATAAAATCTCTTAGACATTTTCTTCATTACCCTACCAAGCCATTCTATTAGTCATTCATATCTGCGGATTACACTTGGTTTACAACATCACATCATTATCTTTTTTATTCTCCTTTTCCTTTTTCATTAAGAAATGATTTGTTGTTTTGTAAATATTTATAAAATAAACATTACTATAATCAATGTAAAAATATTGATAACGATTGTTTTATGATTATTCTTATATTTATTTAATATTATTTTACAATATATTTTAATTAAAAATCTAATCCAAGTTTAGTCCAAGCTTTTAAGCGTGGGTGGGATTGAATAACTCATGCTATGGATATGTCTACTTAACATAAGTATTATTAAATCTAAAATTTATATAATATTATATATATAATATATATATATATATAGCCTTCGACCTTTTTTCTTTGATGTACTTATTAATTAAAGGAGGGATTGAGTTAGATCTGTATAAAACTAATTAATTACATATGCTACAAATCCAATCTAACTATCTGATTTCAACACATTCAATTTTTTTAATACTTAATCCATCATTTAGTCAGGATCTCATTTCTTGAATTCTATCACCATGTTAGACTCTTAATGTAGTTCATGATCATATTTTTAGCATCTTGCTTGCTTTTGTTGTATATATTAAGTAAGTCAATCTAAAAGTATTCATAAATCGAATTAAATCAAACTTGAGTAAAATTTAAATATGATATAAGCATTTTTATATGTTTGTTTACATTTAACTCGACTTGATAATTTAAGTTTGAAATTCTGAATAAGCCTGCACAAATTATTAAATGGTACAGTTCAAATCCGTTTAAGTCCACCTGAAAACTTTTTTAAATAAAATAAAAACATGATATTTTTATTAAATTTTAGTATTTTTACTTTTTTTATTTTATTAAATTTTAAAATATAAATAATTAAATACATTTTTAATGTTTAAATTATAATGTTGTATATAATTATCCTTTATATAGTATAAATTTCACAATATATATAAATTTCAAGCTGTAGCATGAAAGTAGGCAGAAAGTGCGATAGACCTACTCGCTATTCCGAGCTGAATGACCTTTGTTCTTAATTAGCTGATTAGAACAAAATGTTGGGTATGCTAAAGGTTACTATGAAGTAAGGATTCAAATAGCGGTCGGATAGCGGTGTCGCGGCCGTTATTTCGCGGTCGCGCCACTATCCGCCACCGCTATTAGAGAAAAAACGGGAGAGAATTTGAATCTCATCTATAGCAGATGAATCGCGATCGTGAATTGCGGTATAACAGTGAATAGCGGTAATAGCGGTCCGCTATTGCTCGCTATTACCGCTATTGCTGCCATTCCTATTTTCATTCAAAAATTCAAAAAAAAATTCATTTGATTTTGTTTAAAAACTTAAAATAAAAACAACAAGAAAGAAAATAAACATCAATTTACAAATTCAAAAAAAAAAAAAAACTCACAAAACTTAAACTTTCAAAAAAATCAATTCTCTCAAGTTCAACTTCAATCAAAATCAAGTATATGCAATTTAAAGTAAACAATTAATTCAACACTCAAATTATTTTTTTTTTAATTTCCAAATTTGCCATGATTTTGTGTGTTTGGGATTAAATTGGGCTATGTTACATTGATACAAGAAGGCAAGAGTTGCTGGGACTTAAAATAAGAGATAAGAGATGAGAGTGAAACTTGACGTTTACAGAAGCAAGCAGATAGCACACACCAAATAAAAAGAGAACTGAGAGATGGGGATGAGGATGAAGGTTTGGAGAAAAAAAATTATTGACTGTAAAGTGAAAGGATAAGAAGTTGTATGGGTCTGTGCAATTTAGTCAAGAGACAAGAGAAGTAGACTTGAGGTTATTATTGTTGAAAATCGACCATAACATGAAGGCTGTCAAGTTTAATTTACTGTAAGTTCATAAAAAGCAAT